CAAACAAAAATATCTTTTTTAAAAATATTGATCAATTAATAAAAGAGTTTTTCTCTTTGGGCCATATGTTTAATACATACACAGGTTCACTAAAGTAAATGACTTACTCTTACCTTGCCCGAAATTGTTAATTGTGATACATCAACACCACTGTAGTGACTCTCCGAACACTCAATTAACTCACAACACAGCAGCTGACATGACAATGACTTCAGAGGCTATGACACAATTCGAAGACCGACTCAAACCAGCTTTCGTTGCTCAGGAACCAAGACATGGGCGACCTCCGCCTTCATCACTTGTGAATCCAAGCGCAAATACTAAGAATTCAACCCAGCTTACCCAAGCTATTCAGTCCGCTCCTGTTTATCTTCAGGAACCACAACAAGCAGGCTGGAAGGTCTCACCTTCAGGATGTATCAGGATACCACCTCTCTGGTTCTAGAACTTCCTGTCATGTCAGCGCTGGTGGGGGGCCATGTAGTGACTCTCCGAACACTCAATTAACTCACAACACAGCAACTGACATGACCATGACTTCGTACGGGCCTGCGAAGTGCTCACACGAAAAACACCACCTGACCCGACTGTCCTACACGGTCAGTCGAGTAGAAAATACCAGTGAATAAAGACCTACCTATACCACCCTGACCCCACGTTTTAGTGTAAGCTTGGAGATTCCATCCCCCGTCAGTCTAGACTTCTCCACATGAGTCTCGGAAATTACTCACCCCGTCTCTTCAATCATACTTCTTACTCGAACGTTAATGTCTGGTGTTCAGGTAAATATGTCAACTTTTAATGTCTTAGGTGTATGCTGTGAATCCCCTTTTATTTTGTACACCCTTCTGGCTAATATTAAAGAAAACGTGTCGGAAACTTAAGTTGCAGTGACCTTTACGCTTGGGCTTTCAGATTCTGTTGGTCATCCAACTTGTAGATCGGAGAAAATTAAAAAGGGCGATTTCATTTTACCTTGTTTAACCGCTGTCAGACGAACGTGAACAAGCTATGATATACCTATGCCTTCAAAACTTTGCATGGCACTTCTGCAGCCCAGCGACCAAACAAAAATATGTTTTTAAAAAATCAGAATCCTTTAATAATAATAAGTGAGTTTTTATAACTTTAATTAAAACACCATGTGCCACTAGTGAGATATTCATAGAACAATTAGCTTTATGAGTCATTTAACAAAAGTATTGCTGCGAGTACTATAATGGGAAGATTGAGAAAAAGTCTAAGAACAGAGATATCTAAAAAGCAATTCGGCTTTGTTCCTGACAAGGGCACCAGAAATGCTGTATTCATCTTAACAATGTTAATGTAAAGATGTACAGAGGCACAGAAAGATCTGTGTTTATGCTTCATAGATTATTCAAAGGCGTTTGTTAAACTTAGACATGATGATGAGTTTTTTAAAATACCGGAAAAGCTAGACATAGATGGAACAGATCATAGAATCTAAGAATTGTCAGAAATTTGTACTGGGACCAAAATGCTGCTGTACAAATTAATGGAGAATACAGTGAATATAAGCAGGTTAGAAGAGGAGTGAGGCAAGGATGTGTTATGTCACCAGACCTCTTTAACATGTACAGTGAAACAATCCTTAGAAACATAGAAGAATTGTCTAGGTCTCAAAGTGAATGGCTAAAATATTAATTAATAGCATTAGATAATAATATGTCGATGACACAGTTTTCATAGCAGACTCAGAAAAGGCTTTCAATCGCTTCTAGATACTGTTTTAACAGATTATTGTTCAATGTAAAGAAAGCAGAATGAATGGCGCGCTCATATGACCTTAGCAGTTGCGAACGCCGTAAAACCCTATACTACATACATACATGCAGAATGAATGGTAATATTAAAAAACACAAAAACAGCAATAATCCTGTTTGTGATCTCACTAGCAATGGTGAAAAGATCAAACAAGTCCGACACTTTAAATATCTGGGATATATACGAGGTAATAACGTCTGATGCCAAATGTTCCACAGAAATAAAACGGAGAATTGCGAGTTTCAATAAAATTAGCCCAACCCTGAAAAATAGAAACATCTGAATGAACACCAAAATGAAAGTTCTGAAATGCTATGTATGGTCAACCCTTCTATATGGCTGTGAATGCTGGATAATCACTGAAGACAGTGAAAATAAAATAGAAGAAATAGAAATTCGGTTTCTCAGGAGACTGCTGAGAATATCGTGGAAGGAAAAGAAATCAAATGAGGTAGTGTTTGATGAAGCCCACGTATGACGCTCACTGTTAAAAACAACCTGGAAACGACAAATGCGGTTTTTGGGACACCTGAATAGACATAAAGGTCTTGAACATCAAGCTCTCACTGGCAAAATTGAAGACAAACGAGGCAGGGGTGGGCCAGAACAACCTACTTAGGGAACCTGAACAAATAGGTAACAGGGAAAGATCAGGGAAACGTAGCTTTTGTAAGAGCATAGCAAAGGAATGAATGGAGAACCATGATCGCCAATGTCTGTCGCAGATCTAGCTCTGGATGATAAAGGAAGATTTCTTTCGGGGCCCTTGATGAAAACCCATGCTCTAGGTGCACACACAAGACCACTCAAATAAATTATTTACAGTAACAGTGTCTTCATATTGCTCATTTATTTGAGACAGCACATTTCAGTGATTTCTTCCGGTGGTTACCTGGTTGGCTCCGAACATCTTCAAGGTTTAGGATTGCCTTGATTTCGGAATCCTACTAAGCATTGACTTTTATTTTTCAAAAGTAAATTTAAAAAAAAGAAAATTTTAATGATTAAAGTAACTGGTAACCGTTGGTTGACGTAAAAATAAGTCGGAACTTTTCTTCCGTGGCACTAATCGCAGGAATCAGTTCCAGACTCGATTCTTTGCCCAGCTCTGGTGGATTCTAGGCTGGTTATAACAATACCAGGATGGAAGAGGTGATGATAATGTGATAACGATTCACCAGAACTGAAAGACTGAAACATAACAGCTGTTTACAAAATTATGTAAAGATTAGTTTATCAAACATTAAGGAGGTGCTTTGGGGCCTTGTGGCCTTGAGGTTAAGGTGTTCGCTTCTCATTCAAAGGTTCCGGATTCGAATCCGGGTAGCAACCGAAAACATTCTTCTCTAAGATTGTCTCCTTTCACCTCCTTTCCTGCTCTATAGCAATTTTCAGTCGTCTGCTTTCGCCTCCACTTTCTGCCCCATCCCCTCACCTCCTTTGTCCCCTCCTCTGGGCTCTTGACTCTTTCTGCAGCCTTTCCATTGCTTCTCTTTGGCTCCTTCTTATTGCTGTCTTTCAGCTACACCCCTGATCTTCTGGTAGGAAAGATCTACACCTAGCCTTCTCAGACAGGGGCAAAAAATCTCGGAGGGCCCGTGCGCAAATTGCGCACGTTTAAGATCCCTTGATTTTCCAAAATCGATAAGAGTAGGCTTCGGCCGCCTTCCTGGCAAAATTCAAAATTTCCTACCAACTGAAACGTTTAGTATGTCCAGCGCACTCATATGACTTTATGCAGTTGCGAGCGCCGTAAAACACTTACTTTAAAAGAACACAAAAAAAAAACATAAAGGAACTACTACAGTACTTTGCAACATACAAAGACGTTGTCTTCTATTGCGACATATCAGGTTTGTTTCTTGTATGTGCACTGGGTTTATCTGACTACGATCTGAATGAGTGGAGACTTTTCATAGACAATTCAAAGAGATGTCTAAATAGTATACTACGCCAAAATGGACATCTATTTGGGTCCGTTCCTACTGGTTACTCGGTTCGGCCAAGAGAAGAATACAGGTTCTTAAAAATAATACTGGTTGACTTGAATACAAGGATCATAACCAAACGATTTGTATTGATCTAAAAATGGGGGATTTGACTTTTGAAAATATCCAAGTTATCTTTGTCTGCGGGATAGTCAAACGAAACACATTGAGAACAAATGATTTGACAAGGGAGGGTAGCTGTAACAGTTGCAGAAAAGAATACCATCAATGAACCACATGTGTTGAGGGGAAAAATCGTCCTTCCTCCCCCTCATATCAAATTAGGCTTGATGAAACAATTCGTGAAAGCCCAGGACTTTGAAGGGGG